AATTTTAAATAAATATTTTTAAATGTTTATGTATTATTTCTGCAAAAATATCTATAGAATATAAATTAATGTGTGCAAATTTAAGCTCAACTCATAATGTATAAGATTGCTAAAAATAAAATAGTTCACCATCAAGATTAAAATTTTTTATTATCTTCTTGTTAAAGATACATTATGATTGCTACAATCAAAGGCATAAACGGAAATAAGGTGCTAAACTAAATTTTATACGATTAATTTTTTATTCATTTTTAGTTTTTTTCTTCCGTTATCAGGGTAAACAAATTTGTATTAGTATGTATGCATTATAATTTATTTATTATTGTAATATTCTCGAAGAGTTATTTTAAAATCAGCATTTTAATGGTTACCAACCATCAAATTTTAGGATATCCTCTAGCTCTACTATAAATTGACTGTGTTTGAATATCTTAAGTAATAAGTATTGAATCGGTAAGATCTTTCAACAAGGAAAACAGCATGGGTAAAAGTTTTAGAGAAGCTATAAGGCTTTCCCCGAGCTGTTATGCCAATAATGATGATGAATATTTTCATGATAAATTAATCATAAGAAAAAATTTAACAAAAAATTATAATTATCCATACTTATATTGCTATTTTTAAAGCTTCAGTAACGTTAAAATAAATGACAAAATAATATTTCATTTTTTAATCACTAGAACTAAAATATACCTTTACTATTTTATATACAGGGTATTTTCTAGTAAATGTTGCTACAATATTCTTGGGGGGGGGGGGCACATCATAAGGATTAAGAATAGCAACCTACGACCAGAAATGTTATCATATGTGACTAGGGGTGATTCCCTCCCTATTTTGAATGCATTGTTCTGATGTTTTTGAACTGGTTTTTTCATTAATCTAAAATATTTTAATTTCATGTTTTTTTAATAATTATTGTCAAAAATTGCGTTAATTTTAATATTTTGTAATTTAATGATTTGGCGACTAACTTAACACATACCAAGCTCAACCAGTCAAGTTTGGTCAGACTTGCGCCAGGTCAACCTTTTTCTTTTGGGGCAAATGTTATCTTCTTTTTACATTAGAACATAAAAAAATGCTATAATTAAAATTTAAAAAACAGGGATTTTATATTGGACAGAGGTGGTAGGGAGAGTGGGTCAAAATTACAAATATAAATTTTCTCACTACACCATTTGCCCAAACAGCTGATGGGAAGAATTAAAGCTAAATTAAGTGAAATCTGTCACAGTGTTCTTACAACTATGTCCTTTTTAAGAAGATAAGTTATAGTCCTTCTGAAGTTTCAAATACAGTAAAAGGATTTTTCTTTTTTTAAAATGGGGTCAATTTTTTTTTTCCTTCTGTAGTTTATCACTATTTTTTTTAAATGCAGTGATATGCATTTACTTTCAAAATGCAGTTAAATCTTAAATAATTTTAGGAGAGGGATATTTCTGAAAGATTCAATTTACACTTGTGTTCAAAATTTAATAAAAGTTAAGTTTAATAAGACAGAAAAAAAATAGTTCAGAAAAATAAATTGACTTATTTAAAAATTGGAAATTATTAAGAAATATCTTTCATGTTTATTTGAGCAAATTTGTTATTTTCAATCATTATTCACTAATTTTTTAGACTGTTAACTTTACACCAATATTTCATGAATGAAATTCCAGAAAATTGTCAAATATTCGTGATTTTTTTAAGTGTTTTTATGCAATAACTGAATTTGATCTTCGACAATTTTCAAATTGCCCTCTTATACTTTTTTATGTATATATTTCAAGAAATGATTCTCTCTGATTGTCAGAGTAAGAGAAAACTTTATAGTTAAAAATAATTAAAAGGCATGCTAATAGATAATCTCTGGACATAAAATTTCCTCCAAAAAAAAAAAAAACTAAAAACAAGTATCAATTGAGATAAACAACTTGAGAGATTATATAATTTAAACTAAAACTTATGAAAAAAATTATTATTACAGTTGATTTTTTTTTTAAGAAAAGTATTTATTTAAAAAATAATTTTAAATATTAAAACCATTAAAAAATGTATTAATATCCACCCCTGAGAAAAGAATACTTATAAATATGTAACAAGTTACGAATAATACTAACAAAATATATATTTGTAATAGTAATCAGATTTAAATCTATAAACACAGATAATTTTACATGTGTGGAATTATTATTTAAAAAGTGAATTAATTTTTTCAAAACCTGAATATGAATAAATAGGCAGTGTTTTTAAGGGATGAACCACTTATTTTTACAAATACAGTAGGGAACCGATTATCCGGAACGATCGGGATCATCGATATTCCGGATAACTGATTTTTCCGGTTTTCTGAATCGCTACAAAAAACCGTTTTTTTTTTTTTTATAGTTAAACCAAACTTAAAAAAAAAATGGAAATAATCTTAAAAAGAAGAAAAAACGATGAAGTAATACACTAATGATTATTTCCAAAATGATGGTAAGGTAAAACATCTTTCAAAAAAGAGCGAAAAATCCTAAAATCTTATGAGGAAAAAAATTTTTTTTTAAAAAATGACGGGAAAATTTATCGAATTTCGTTCCGGTTTTTTGGTTTTCCGGTTTTCTGATTTCCGGATAACGGGTTCTGTACTGTAGTATAAAGAGGACACATTTATAGGGATCAAAGTGCAAGTGCCACCCTTCTAAAAAGGCTTAGAACACAGAGAGAGACATCTGATGCACTTGCATAAGATTTGCAAAATTAATAGTATTTCAACCTTGTTTCTCAACCAAACCAGGGTTGCCACTCATAGCTGGAAAAAAAATTCCCTGTACATATTATGCACAATATATTAAGAGGAAACAACAATTACTGTGCTCTTGTATGATCTATATTGGGATAACTATATTTATTATACTGAAAAAACAGCTGAACATACTTAAATAGTGCTAGAGTAAATGAAATACTTTAGTATAGCCGAAATATCATGGTTAAATATCCTATAGATTGAGCTTTGACTGGTTACCATTTTTTAAAAAACAAAAATAAGAAACAAAATTCCCTGTATTTTCACAGTTTGTAAAGAAAAATATAAATTCCCTGCATTTTTCCTGTTATTTCAGGTGATTTTTAAATTCCCTGTATTTTCCAGGTTCTCCCTGTGGAGTGGCGGATCCAGCGGGGGGTCATGACCCCCCCCCCATATTGAAAAAAAAATAACAATAATTTTTTTAATAGTTTACCAAAGAAATAAAATATTTTAAAATTTTTTTTCCCTCATCTTATTATGTTCTTCACTAATAACTCTGCCAGTTAATGCAGCAACAGCAGAATGTTCTTTTTCAACTCTTTGACCTCTCAAAACTTGACTTAGAGCAAATCAAAATCAAGAACGATTAAATGGACTCGCATTATTCATCGGGACATTCATCGAGAAATTGATTAGGATGTTGAAAAAGTCATTGACAGATTTGCCAAAGTTTCTAAAAAACGCATTACACCTATTATTGAAAGATTTTGAATGCTTGAATTATTTATGTATTGTTCTATTGTTCAATATGAAAAAAATAAATTTGAAGACTACTAGCATTAAAAATCCCAGTTTTTTTTTTCTTTTCAAAAAAAAAATAATTATAAAAAAAAATTTTTTTACAAAAAAAATTGTGTTGGGGGATCTGAGTTTATGACCCCCTCCAGGAAAAATTTCTGTATCTGCCCCTAGTGGAGTGGCAATCCTGAAAAGTGAATTTCTACAAACTACTTTTTTTTTCCAATCACACTACACTATAATGCTTTTTAAAAAGTAGTACATTATCTTATAAAATACAAAAAAGAGTAACTTCAATAGTTATGTTTATTGTTGCATCATATTTTATTTCAGACTACAGAAAGAAAGTAATATGCTTTTTTAATAAAGTTGTAAAAAATCCAGATGTTTATAAGTGATTCATCAAAAAATTTTTGTATTGGATCATGCTTTTGTTTCACAGCTTGTAAAGCTGATACCATATGAGGAAAAATAAAAAGAAGCAACTTTATGTTTGAAGAAATTTTGAATTGAGTTGAAAATGAGATTGTGAATTATGTGACATCAGTGTAAAAGATGTAAAAGATAAACTAACTGAAAGATTTCATTTATAAGAATATAATTTTGATACTTTCGGTTAGCTGTTCCCAAATAAATTATTATTATTATTTTTAACAGCTGTAGAATATTTAATAGTAGAATACAACAATGATTTATATAAAACTATCTTTCAAACTTTGATGCACAGTTTTTTCCAATTTAAATTCGATAGACTAATACTGTGGATTAAGCATGTCCTATAGAGAAGTAAGTTTTTTTGTAATGCCCTTTTTTTTTGTCCTAACTACTTCCTCAAAAGATGTCCAATAGTGAATTTGGGGCACAAGTCTGTGTTTACCTTGTTGCAGTTCAATGCAGATTATAAAAACTTACACAACTTTTATTTTCCGAAAAATTACTTCCTAAAGTTGGTTAAAAATTTAAACTCTGCATCCTTTAATTTTACCATGCTCCTTTCAAAAAAGATCTTGACAAAGACATGGAATTTAATGACCCAACAATTTTATTAACAAATAAAATACATAACAAAAAGCTGGTCAATTTGTACAAGTTACATTATGTACTGCTTAAATCAATTTTAAATGCATGACTATTTTTAAGGATAAAGTTGCTTTTCATTCTAAATAATAAATTAATATCTAAGTTATAAATAATATCAGCATTAAAAAGTTGTAATGACAGGTGTATTTTAATTTAATTTAAACACTAACTATTTATTAGGTTACAATATTTTAATGATATTTATTTATTTACAATAATTTTGAAACATTTCTGACAAAACGCGTGAAAATATGAGTAACTTGTGTAGCAAATGTTTGGATGAACAGTTATCTCATATCCACACCCAAATGACAACACAAAAAAAAAAGAAAAGAAATTTGAAACCAAGCTTGACAATAAAGTTAGATAATATAGATATAAGATAAAATATGTAAATATCACTTACCCAATAAACTCTTCAACAAAAGATAGATAAATTATATGTTATCGAGGAACTGATAAATTTGCTTGCCTTCAATTTTATGTTTACCTGCCTACATACACATGTAAAGGGAGTGGGAGGGAGAATCGCTCAGGTTTATTGACAAATAAGGGAATTCACAGAAAAAAAAAATAGTGTTACGTCATAAACTGTTATTTTAATGTATGTGTTATCTTTCACAAAATTACAGTTATATGTTAATAAAATATAAAGGCAAGTCACTTCATTCTTTTAACTTAGTAATCAAAAGAGTACGTAATTGAACAAAGAGTTGTTATATTTAATATTTTTAATAGTAGTAAATGAATTTTAAAGAAATGATTCACTTAAAAAATACTCGCTCATCAAAATAGTAACGGGTATAATAAACGTAACAGGTACGTAAGTATGCTTTCTTTTTGGAGGAGAAATAAAGTTTGGAGATTCTAAAATTGAAAATATATCATAATTAAGAAACACCTAATTGAAAATATCTATATAATACCTAAATCTTTACATATTTATTAAAAATAAATTACTGAATAGTTAGATCAAGCGAAATTTATTTCTTCAAGAGTTGCTTTTCAACACGGCTTGATCGACGAATGTTATAAATAAAAATGTTTCTGCCAAAAGTTTCAACTGAAGCTTTTTTAAAGTTTCATTTTCCAATGTATTAGATCGCTTTGAAGAAAATTCGAAAACTTTTTAACTTTTCAAACATTTTTAAAATAATATATTTAAAGATTATATTGATTTTTTTTCTTTAATTGCAAATTTAAAGAAAGAAAAAGTATGGATTTGATGCTAACATGTTTAGATTTCTATGCCTTTAGTTGACTGACTTCAACTTTTACAATTCATCTATAGAGAGTCGTTCATAGTATGCAGAAATCGAAATGTCGACAATTCCACTTGCTCATTACAGTATTTTGAAAAAAGATACTTTCAATGATGTTTATGAACCTTCCGAAGACACATTTTTACTGATTGATGCTTTAGAAAAAGATATTAACATTTTAAAAGAAATAAGGTTTTTTAATTTTATTACAAAAACGTTTTTATAATATCCATGTTTATGTAATGTATGTTCATATAATCCTAAACATCAGTTTAATCTTCTCTGTAACAAATATATTAATTTTAAAATACAGTTTACCCTACTTAAAGGAATACCATTAGTTCCAGCCAAAACTATTCAATTAAGTGGGTTATTCGATTTAAAGGGGAATGCATTATTCTATTTTAAATGTTAAATTTATATATATGCAATTGTATATATTGCATAGTATAGTGTTTTGGTTTATAAATAAACTCAATTTTATGATCAATAAACAATTATAATTTAAACCAGGGTTGGCAAGTTTTTGACACGTGACGGTTTTTACCGGTTTATACCATGGTTTTTACCGTCATGTCAAAAAAACCTCTGTCAAAAATCCATAGTTTTGGTAAAACTGTATTTTTTAGTTCAACTGCTTATAATTTAAAATTAATTCATTTTTGGGCTATAAAATTCGAAATAAAGTTGTTAAAAGATATTTACGAACAGATTCTTGCATTTTCCCAACATGATTATATCAAAACATACTATTTGAAGTAAAATATTAGGATACTAAACGAACTTTTTAACATTTCCAAGCATCATTTTGTTTGGCATATTACATTACTGAAGAATGTCAAGTCATTCTTGACTTAGAGTTTGTTAGTAGTTACAAGTTTTGAAAGTTTTGTTTAGCTTATTTCTAATATTTAAGAAATGCCAAATTTTAAATTCTTCTTTTTAGTTCTTGAATTTATTAATAGTTCCAAGCTTTTTTGTTTGTTTGTTTATTTCTAACAATTAAGAAGTGCAAAATTTTGAATCCTTTGCAAATCAAGCTATAATGATAAAAGTAAGTATCACTATTTTCAATAAGTATATTACAATATTTCTGTATGAATGTATATCCTTCTATAAGAATACATGTATATAGTTGCAAAATCAATAGCAATCATTTACAACATTCATTTAAAAAGGCAATTATGTGAAAATAATATATTGCCCGCTATATGCCATAAATTAATGAAAACAGTAGGTTTTTGACGGTTTTTACCGGTAAAAACACGGTTTTTACCACTGTCATGTCAAAAACCAAACCCTGATTTAAACTGTCTGTGTTAGCATTATAAAATATAAATGTCATATAAAGTTATATAAAAATAAATCTATGCTGATGAAAAAAATAATACAGGTACTATACTATTATTTATAGTACTTGTACTATTACACCTGTTGAGAGCAACAAATGAACAGAAAGTCCCTATTGAAGTGACCACCTATTGTATTCTTATCTTCTTAACTGAAAATTTCATTCTAACTGGTGAAACATTTCTTAAAAATAAGCATTCTGCTCTTATTTAGTGAGCTTTTTTTGACAATACAACTTCATATTGCAATCAGAATGCACTGAAGATGATGATTTACTTTTAAAATTGAAAGTTAAATTAGAAAAAAAAAGGGTTATTTTAGAATAAACAAGCATCTCTAACAAACCTCTTCTCACCTTTTAAAGCTTACTAATTTTTATGATTTAAAACTAAATGCAAAACCTATACAAAAAAACATATAATTGTTTATTGAGTTAAAATAGATTTATCATACTTATTTGGTAAATTTGTTTTTACACGTAATTTTATCAGTTGGGATCATTTTTATAGGCTCTAAGTTTTATTCATCGATTTGTCTTTTCACGACACCAACAGAAATGGCATTTCCGCACCAGGGAAATTTTACTGACTAAAATTTAAATTGTTTGCAAAAAATCATGTACCTATGATAACAATTTTTAAGGCAATGGATTTAACCTCTAAGAATGACCCACCTCCATTAACGACCATATTACTGTGGAGCGGTGAGTGGTCGCTCCTGAGAGGTTTCACTGTATGTTAATGTTATGTTTAAATGGAATTGTTTTTTAAATTAACATGTTTTCGAAATTAACTACATGTTAGTAAAGTGGGGATGGAAAATATTAATGTAGATGAAGTTGTATTTGAAACAGGTACTTTATGTTATGAAAATTGAATGTGACAGTTTGCATAGTGGAAAAATTTAAATGAGTAAGCCTCAAAAGGAAGTTAGGGTAGAGGAAGATTGTGTAATGTTAGTGAGGTTTTATAGATAAAACCAGTGTTATCCAAAAAAGTTTAAAGAGTAATTTCGCTCCTCCATTAATTTTTGATAATGAAATTTAAAATTAAAGAGTGAACTTTAAAACAGAGATTAAATTTGTAAGAAACCACCGTTTTTAACACAGATTATTTTATGACTGATAAATAAGTTGCGTAAAGTAAGCACTTGAGAATAATTAGCAAATTTTTAACCTGAAACATTATTCTGCTATATTTTCAACTTTTTTAACTACACTTTGGTTAATTAAACTATGATTTCTAAAAAAATAAATTAAAAAAATTACTAATAAAATTTATTGTTTATCAGTTAATTTTTTTTTTTAAAAATCGAGTTAGCCACAGAGTGATAACAAATCTACTGCCCATGTGCTAGCATTTGATATACATCTGCTGAATTTTTGTCTTAGGAAAAATATATATTTGAGATGTTTTGAAAATAGTGCTGATAAAAATTAGCCAAAAATAGTTGGTGGTAAAAAAAGAATTTCCGAACAATTGTTTAGCCTGATAACAAATCATTTCTATAATTAGTTTAATGTGCCACTATCAACAGAATTTATAAAAGTGCTAACTTTTATTTATTTTTAAATTTTTCTTGCAGCCCAATCATATGCTTAGAAATTGGAAGTGGATCTGGTGTTGTTACGGCATCTCTTGGCAAAGTTTTAAATAGCTGTTTCTATTTGTAAGTTTGATCAGTTTATTTATAAATCTGACATATCATAATATCCTGTTATAATCTTCTTTTTCCACCTTCATCTATGGAACCAATCGAGTACCTTATTAACAAATTATTTTATTATATATTGTCATGTTTGGTAAAACTATCAATGATTCAAATAAAATAAATCAATTCTCTAAGAGATTTTGAATTGTGTCTGTAAAACAGAGGTTGATGAAACTAGTTTCTTGTTCTTAGTAACTTCAAAATTTTTCTAGTCTGTACAAATTTTCACTGGTCATATCCTTGTTAATTTTTTTGAAAAGGTGTGCAAAATTAAACAGTTTTTCAACACATTTAAATTATTGTAAACAAGTTGAAAATGCAAATTAAGTTTTATATAAATTAACCTGTTTTCAATATGTTTTTATAAACAAGTTAAATGATGCGCATTTATTATAAATACATCATTATCTGGGTAAAAAAAAAAAAAAGTCAAAAAGAAAAAATATATCTAGTAATTTTTAAAAAATCCTGAATTAAGGGAAATAGTGAAATTAAAAGAAAAGAAAAACTACAGTGCATGTGTGACGTTCAAAATTATGATAAAGGGGCATAAGTCAGCGATTTTGTGCCAGAAGGGTGATAACCTTCTAGCATAATTCATAAAGTAATGTTGCATGCAAAACAAACGGGGAAAAAAATATATGAAAAACTGAATCGGCAAACCTTTATTTTATTCAGTTAAGGGTGTTAGTCATCGATCAGAGGGACTGCTGATTATTATCCCATTGTGGTCTAAGTCGGATTTTAGCAGTCTCAGAAATAAAGAATTTCAAGCCATGTTCAATAACCACTAATAAAATCACTGGATTATAAAATTGGATTCATTTTAAAATGTAATTGATTAAAAATGAATCATTCCGAAATAAGTGCATACTTAAAAATAATCTTTTAATAAAATCCTTTTTTTTTAATTTGTAAATAATTTTTTTAAAAATAATTTAAATTAATTTTTTTAAATTTAATTTTTTTTTGAAGGAAAACAAACTTTTGAGAAACCACTATTCGACAAATGAAAAGACTAGATTTTTCTCTTGTCTGGGATATGCTTTACACATTTCAATTTTTATATCTTTTGCTATTGGATGCAGGTAAGAAATTCCAGAGCAAAAAAATTAAATAAAATAGCACAGATATCTGTTATACTTTAGGAAATTAAGAAGTCAGATTTATGAAAGCCTGAAATAGTAAAAATAAATTTTTAACTTATGGAAACCATACATTGATAAATTTACTAACGAATCAGAAGTCTTTTTTGTTTAAAGAAATGCATAATTCATAGAACTAAAGAATGCATTTTCTATTTGTAATTTAGTCATGAAAAAAAAATTATATATATATACATATATATATATATATGTATATATATATGTATATATATATATATTTCTTTCCTACATA